TTGCATACTTCCTGGAGATTTTTATGGCCTCGTAAATCAGTTAAATTAGCCTCCCCACATAAGTGGTACCTAAATTTCCTACTTGACAGTTGAAACTGTCTTTCGGGCTACAAAATACGACAACAAGCTACATAATTTTGGTCAGAAGCTCACTCCGACCCGGGCTGTTTTCGAACTCATGACCTTTCAGTCAGTAGTAATCTTAATGCAGCTGACTCCAAGCCAGCTGTGCTACAGTCCCAATAAATAAACTTGGCCTTCCATATCCACAGATTCTGTATCCATGGATTCAAGAATCTGAAGATACAAGACTTGAAAACTTTTTTTAATCCCAAAGCAAACCATGATTTTGCCAGTTTACGTAAGAAACACCATTGTGCTATGCCCCTGTATACAATAGGACTTGAGCGTTCATGGATTTGGGCGTTCACGGGGGATATAAAGGTCTCAGTTTACTATTTCAGTAATGTTTAGCCCATTCTCAAAGCTTTTCCTTTGCAAGTTGACTAGAGCAGGGGTCCTCAAACTAAGGCCCGAGGGCCAGATACAGCCCTCCAAGGTCATTTACCCGGCCCTCGTTCAGGGTCAACCTAAGTCTGGAATGACTTGAAAGCACACAACAACAACAACCTTATATCATCATCCAGAGGCAGGCCCACCCTTCCCATTGGAATACTAAAAAGTTTATATTTGTTAAAATTGTTCTTCATTTTAATTATTGTATTCTTTTTAAGTGGGTTTTTTTTGTACTACAAAAAAGACCCCTGGACTGGAGGGAGGGAAGAAAAAAATGGAAGGAGGAAGGGGAATAGTATACTGCTGACCACGTGGCTTGAGTTAGTTGATTAGTCCCAACTAGAGTGGATGCTTTGAATCAACTGTTGAATAAGGAGTCAACAACAACAATTCTTTATTGATTAGTCAATTTTGACCATATCAAAAMATGCAAAAYATACAAAACATACACATACAGTAAAACCACATATGAACACAAGGCATCATGGCCTACTGGCCTGTCGACCCACTCCCAAATAATTGAGCAACTACAAGACAAAGAGGCTAAAAGATTAAAACTTGATTAATTCCTTAAAATAGGGTTAGGGTGGGGGACATGGGTAGGTAAAACTAGTGGCGTGTCCATACTACTGACCTCTTCGAATTCCAACAAGTGGTTTGATTATGAATGCCAACTAAAAAAGAAGCAACTGAAAAGTGCCATAAGAGTACTCCAACATTCCCACAACTCAGATACACATGCCCATATGTTAAAAATTAGACGGCAATATAAAAAACTGATCGCAGATAAAAAGAAGAGCTATAATATGAAAGTATGGTCTGATCTTGAATAAGGAGTCAATAGGTAGATCAATCCCATGGGTTTACTCTATTTGGGATTAACTATATAYGTATTTCAATGCTTGAACCATCTGAATTATTAAAACAATTGAGTCTCTACTGAGATTTTTGAGGCCTCAAGATGTTATTTCTACCATCGTAAATAATTATAAAAAAACAAAACAAAACGGTTAGTAAAGAACATCTACCTGCCTGGGGTTATAAAATGATATAAATAGATCCAGAAGGCACATTCGGAGCTTATTATCGGTGTTTTGCTAGCTTTGGCTATTAATTCTATTGACAATATGCATAACCGGTGTTTTCTGCATAATTAGTGCCTAAGTGGCTTATAGTTAGTAGAATACAGTGAAAACCATAAAAGAAATCATCCTCCTGCTGCTTCTATTACTGTTACTATCATACCATTTTACTATACTTTCTTTTAAATGATACTACAATGTAAGAAACTAAGGCCCCTCCCTTCCACACAGCTGTATAAAATCCACATTGAACTGGGTTATATGGCAGTGCGGACTCAGATAACCCAGTTCAAAGCAGGTATTGAGGATTATCTGCCTTGATATTCTGGGTTATATGGCTGTGTGGAAGGGCCCTAAAACAATGAAAGAGATAAATTCAGCTTAATTTATTTTAGAAGGATTATTCAAGTTAAGGTAGTAACAATTGCTAGAAGTGCCTTATTTTTTTTTACTCATGTCTTAACTCATTTTCTCTGCGCGCCCTTTTAGGATGTCCTTGGGCCCTTCCACACAGTCCTATAATTCAGAATATCAAGGCAGAAAATCCCACAATAGCTGCTTTGAACTGGGTTATCTGAGTCTACACTTAAATAATGTGGGATTTTCTGCCTAGATATTCTGGGATAGCGGGCTGTGTAGAAGGGCCCCCAGACAGTCAATTGGGTTGTTGTAGGTTTTTCAGGCTGTATGGCCATGTTCTAGAAGCATTCTCTCCTGATTTTTCACCTGCATCTGTGGCAGGCATCCTCAGGGGTTGTGAGGTTTGTTGGAAACTAGGAAAATTGGGTTTACATATCTGTGGAAAGTCCAGGGTGGGAGAAAAAACTCTTGTCTGTTGGAGCTAGGTGTAAATGTTTCAACTGCCCACCTTGATTAGCATCTGATGGCCTGATAGTTTTTAGGTGTGGCTTGTTACTGCCTGGGAGAATCCTTTGTTGAGAGGCGATTAGCTGCCGCTGCTGCGGATACAGAGAAGGAAGTAGGGGAAGGCAAAGATGAGCTCCTATCCTCCCTCCTCCCTCCCTCTCTAAAGAATTATTTCTCTGGTGGGTTATCAGATGTTTTAGCCCTTCCACACAGCCATATAACCCAGAATATCAGGATAGAAAATCTCACAATACCTGTTTTGAACTAGGTTATCTGAGTCCACACTGCCATATATTCCAGTTCGAAGCAGAAAATGTGGGATTTTATTTCACTGTGTGGAAGGGCCCTCAGATGCTCCAGCCAGAGGAGCCAATAGTGAGACCTTCTTGGAAATGCTGGGAACCATCATGAGCCATGAAGGGGAGTGGGGGAAGAAGAAAAGACACAGCATGTTGGGAGTGGAGGGTAGGAAAAAGTTTCCAACATACAAATTAACATACAGATTAAGTTTAGAACAAATGAATATGAAGTTTTCTGGTACAATGCCACTGTCCTTGATTAGAAATACAATGTCAGCTGAAAAGTGTCCAAGTTAGTTTCTAGCACTGATGGAAATGCAATTGGTGGCATGATTGCATTCTAATTCAGCAGCAGCTATTAGTTATGTTTGCATAGTTAATGCTATACACTTACACAGTGGCTTTCATCCCAGAAATCTCTGAGTACTTAAGCAAACATTACAGTAATTATTTCTGAAAAGTGGGCTAGCCTTTGCATTTTGCAGTTAAGTAAACTGAGGCAAGGTAAATTAACCCCAACTCTTGGAAGGATTCAGATGTTCCCAGTGGACATGGTATTTGGAAAGGGCTACTTTCCAAATACCATCCTTGGTGATCATCCTTTGTTTGGAAGCAGCTTGGACAGATCTAGGTTGCATTTAAGCCTATGTTAAATTCTCATTAAAAGAGTTGGGCTGTGACCTAAGCAGTAAGCTTCAGTATGACCTCTGTTCATTTTGGTTCAGTTGGAATGGAAGACACCCATGGAACACTGAATTACAACTGATATTTATGAAAACTCAAGGCTGAATTGGCGAAAATGATAAATGTCTACAATTCTTCAGGGACAAAAAAAAAAAAAAAAGCCTGAGATGTATTCATGGGCCCTTCCACACAGCCCTATATCCCAGAATATCAAGGCAGGAAATCCCACAGATATTGTGGGATTTTCTGCCTTGATATTCTGGGATATAGGCCTGTATGGAAGGGCCCACAGTCACAGGTAAAGGATACAATTCTCAGCATGTCTTATCCTCTTTCTTTCAGCTCATCCTTAACCGGAACCTGGAAAAGTTACATTTCTGAGCTACAAGTCTCAGGATGAGAAATGACCACTGTCCTTGCAAATATATTTGCCTTAAGGAGTTCATCTTTATTAAGAGCAGTACATGATGCAAAATGATTACTAATGATAAAAGATTTAATGTGCTGGGACAAAGTGCAACCAGAAGGATTTATCTGGTACTAAATGAGAGATAGAATTTGCTGCAGAAACAATGGGCACAAAACTGCTCACTATCTGGAAGGGCTTGCCTTCTCCAAATATCAAAACCATTGATAATTATCTAGAGCAGCGTTTCTCAACCTGGGGGTCGGGACTCCTGGGGGAGGGGGTTGTGAGGGAGTGTCAGAAGGGTTGCCAAAGACCATCAGAAAACACAGTATTTTCTCTTGGTCATGGGCATTCTGTGTGGAAAGTCTGGCTCAATTCTATTGTTAGTGGGGTTCAGAATGGTCTTTGATTGTAGATGGACTATAATTCCCAGCAACTACAACTCCCAAATGTCAAGGTTAATTTCCCCCAAATTCCACCAGTGTTTACATTTGGGCATATTGAGTATTTGTGCCAAGTTTGGCCCAAATCTATCATTTGTTGAGTTCTCAGTGCTCTCTGGATGTAGGTGAACTTCAGCTCCCAAACTCAAGGTCAATGCCCACCAAACGCTTCCAATATTTTCTTGTTGGTCATGGGAATTCTGCATGCCAAGTTTAGTTCAATTCCATCGGTGATGGAGTTCAGAGTGTTCTTTGATTGTATGTGAACTATAAATCTCACAACTACGACTCCCAAATGACAAAATCAATCCCCCGCCAAACCCACCAGTATTCAAATTTGAGTGTATCGAGTATTTGTGCCAAATTTGGTCCAGTGAATAAAAATACATCATGCATATCAGATATTTACACTACGATTCATAACAGTAGCAAAATTACAGTTATGGAGTAGCAATGAAAAAAATTTTATGGTTGGGGGTTACCCCAACATGAGGAACTGTATTAAGGGGTCGCGGCATTAGGGAGGTTGAGAATCACTGATCTAGAGAGTGAATACATATCTAGAGAGAATGGATACATACCAGTAGTTAGAGAGTGGACAAATGTAATAGAGAGAGACAGAGGGAGAGAGAGGGAAAATATATCTATAGAAATGTCTTGAGGATAACTGTCAAGAGAACAACCAGAAGCTACAGCTCACCTTGCCCCCAGAGTGTGATGCATTGCTGTTCATGGGTCTGGCACATGCCATTATAGCAGTATCCGTCCACCCTGTGGCAGGAATGTCCGTCATGTAAGTAAACATTGGCTGGGCAGTGAGGGCTGCCTCCAGTGCAGAATTCGGGAAGGTCACAGGAATTACTGGCATCCCTGCATAAGATGCCCGCTGGCTTCAGCTGCAGGAAGAATGAAGTGATTGCAATTCCAATCAATAAAATGTACTGCACAGTGAAATTTATGCTGCAGACTAATGCTCCCCCCTTCCCATCTCACTAAGACTCTGCACCAAGTTTCCATTAAGTACAGTCTAAAGGTGACACTGCATTTAAATGCATCTGTTTGATATACTGCACAGTTGTTTACGATATACTTCCAAAGGGCCTCCTTCACTCCTCTCAAAGGAACGTGCAAGCACAAGGCTTCTGACACACTGTGCATACAGAAACACACAGCTCAAGCCCTCAAATGACTCTGCAATGGTCGTGCTATTTAAGTGGACATAAAATTTAAAGGCTTGTTGTTTTAATATTATCAATAGATGAATAAAATAAAAGTAGACATTGTGGGGAAAAGCTGTGAAGTGTTGAATTGGATTTTTGTGAAAGTTGGAAAAAAATACGCATAGCTTCTGCTGTAGGCAAGGTGTCGGTGACTTCTTCAGCACGCAAGATCCCCCTGGAAAGGCATCACAGCTAAGGTTAGAGTCCTGTCCACCTTCAAAACATAAAGAAAATTCACCATGCAGTTTTCACAGCAAAGTCCATGGGCGCAAAAGGCTCCTGGTCTTAAAGTGCAGGTAGTAGCATTACAACACTGGTTTGTACATTCCTAAAAGAAAGAGACAATAAACAAGACAGCAACATTAAATAGCACCGAAGTCAGAAGTCAACCTAATTCTATACTTTAGATCAGGAGTGGTCAAATTGCTCAGAGTCCTCCAAATCCAGCCACACATATATTTTTTTTAGTTGGCAAATGCTTTCCTGGGCTCTCTAGGGGGGCTTAGAAAGTTGTTTAAAAAAGTTTCTTGCTTCGCTTTTTATGATTTCAAGAAAGTTTTACTGTTGGCCAAGAGTGGTGACAGCTCCAACTCGCGATGGCAAAACAAACTGTCAACCCAATTTGGGTGTGTTGGCTTGTTATATCCTTTTTTCTGACATGCGCACACTAAACATAGCTTAGGGCACTAAACATAGCTTGTGGTAACTCCCACAATAAAGAAGGGGCTGTCCAGATGACGTCCTGGACAATCCTGAAATAATTCGCTACAAACCAGGAAACCTCTGGTTTTTCGCTACAAACCCTGGTTTGTAGCAAATTAATTCGTGGATTTATTCTGCGCCTTCGTGCAAAACCCTGGTTTGTAGTGAATTAATTAGTGGATTTATTTCACTCCTTCTTGGGAGGCGCAGGATAAATCCACTACTTCTGGTGTCTGGACTGCAGTCAAGACACCATGCCTAGAGTTTTCTGGACTAAATTAGTCTGGAAAACTGTGGGAATACCCACCCCCTCCTCCAAAGCCCCCAAATGCCTTCAAAAAGTAAAATAAACTTACCCGGCCTGTATTACAGTCTTAGAGCAGCTCTGCTGGAAGCTCCTCCCCCCCCCCCGTCCCGCTCTCCTGGTGCGTCATTTCTATGTGCCAGGAGGGCTGCTCCAAGACTGTTATGGAGGCCGGGTACATTTATTTTACTTTTCAAAGGGGTCTGCGGGCTTCAGGGAAGAGGTTAGGACTCCATATGTTCTTGCAGGCCAGTCCATTGTTCTTCATTGTTCACATTTGGGGATAATGAGTATCTGTGCCAAATTTGGACTAGATCCATAATTGTTTGAGTCCACAGTGCTTTCTGGATGTAGGTGAACTACAACTCCAAAATTCAAGGTCAATGCCCATCAGACCCTTCCAGTATTTTCTGTTGGTCATGGGAGTTCTGTGTGCCAAGTTTGGTTCAATTCCATCATTGGTGGAGTTCAGAATGCTCTTTGATTGTAGGTGAACTATAAATCCCAGCAACTACAACTCCCAAATGACAAAATCAATCCCTTTCCCCAATTCACCAGTTTTTAAATTTGGGCGTATCAGGTATTTGTGCCAAATTTGGTCCAGTGAATGAAAACACACCCTGCATATCAGATATTTACATTACAATTCATAACAGGAGAAAAATTACAGTTATGAAGTAGAAATAAAAATAATTTTATGGTTGGGGGTCACCACAACATGAAGAACTGTATTAAAGGGATGCGGCATTAGAATGGTTCTAAACGTATGATTTGCCCAATGTTCTTCAGGTGGCTTTCCAGGACTCTTTATTTTATCTATTCTGTTTATCTGTTCTTGCAAAGCATTCTAGGTGTCCACAGAGGCTACTATTAACGCAGCTGTAGCTGTCTTTTCTGAACCTGTCACAATCCCATGAATTGAGAGTTTTTCTAAGGATACATCTATACCGTAGAAATAATGCACTGTAACACCACTTTAACTGCCATAATTGAGTATTATGAGAGCCATAGTTTTACATTGTTCTTAGACTTCTCTACCAAAGAGTGCCAGTGCTTCCCCAAACTACAAATTCCAGGATTCACAGCATTGAGTCATGGTAGTGAAAGTGGTGTCAAACTTCATTAATTCCACAGTGTAAATGCATACCAAGAGCCTTTATGCCTTTCTAAGGTCTAACGATCCTGCATATCCAAACAATTTCACACTGACTATAAATTTGCCAGACGCCCCATGAGCCTTCAGAAGTATGAACTTGGACAAAGTTTTAGCTATTTTATAACCCTGAGATTCTGCTCAAAATGACTTTATGATATTAAGATTGTGATTTCCTGCTGCTTTAGTGAAGTCTGCTGTTGATATAATTGTTCTATGTTCACAGGGCATTAAACAACTATTTTCTCTCTTTACTGGGATCTTTTAACATTTTTCAAAACTGCTATCATATTGCTGTTAATCTTTTTTTAAAAAAAGAAAATTTGAGCTTAACACACCATGTCACTTGCAATTTTCTTCGGCTTAATTCTAAAGCCATGTAACCACATCAGAGCACAGGTCTGAATTAATGACTGGATTCTCATCCATATATCTATATCTCTGGCTAAAATGTGCACATAGAAAACCAAATTTTATGGAGAAGGCTAGGCTAGTAAACTTCTGCCTGGCATTTAGTTTCCTCGGTGAGAACTATGTCTTTGTGAATTTCTTCTAGAACTTTATCATCCCCTCTGAATTGCTTCCAATTTATCTTGTACTGATCAGAAGTGGCATACTACTTAAATGAGGTCTAATCTCCGGGCTGAGCAGGGTCCTACTATAGTTTCATGAGTCTTGGAAAGGATGCTGCTCTTAATGCAGCTTGAAAGAACATTAGCCTTTCTTGCCACGGCATCACACTGTGGAGTTTGTTATCTACCATAACCTTCACACGTCCCTTACTAAAACAACCAGTTTAGTTATTACCTTCTATCTCTCTCCCCCCTCCCCTCCCCATTATTTATATATTACTAGTTTGGGGACCCGGTAGAGTGTGGGTTATTTGAGAAAGGCATTGTTTGTTTTTTGAAGTTTGGGAATATCAGTTTGGTAATGTATTTGTTAGAAAAAGACAGTCTTTCCTTTTTTTTAAAAAAATGAATTCTCCAATTAGAAAATGCATAAGGTTGTGAGTGAACTACAATTCCCAGAATTGTGGGGCAATCCTTCCCAAACCCTGCCATTATTCAAAGTTGGCCATGTTGGGTCTGTGTGCCACGTTTGGTCCAGATCTGATTATCAGCTGGGTTCAGTACTCTCTGGAGAAGGCTGAACTACAGCTCCTAGCTTGCAAGGGCAATCACCCCAAAACCCAGCCAGTATTCACAGCTAGCCATGTTGGTTCTGTGTGCTCTGGATCCCTGTTGTGTCAGTCCCCCAAACCCCTCCAGTCTGTTTAGTTGCTGATCAATTCCTCTGGTTTGCTGTGTGCCATAGGAAAGGGTAGGAAAAGATTAAAGAAGAGGCAGTGGGCAGGGTCGTGTAAATTCCACACAAGGAACCCTGGGATGCCTGCTTGGGGTGGAGGGAACACATCAAATCTAGGATGAAATTCTCCCCCAATGAAAGCATTCCTTGGGTGGTGGGCTGTAGTGTTTGGGAAGGACATTGGCAGTGTTTGGGCTACATGTTCATGGTGCTCTCTCTAAACTGCAATGTCAGTCGAAGGAGTGCCTTTGAAGGCTTCTCAGCACTTGGAACAACAGCCTGTTTGTAGAGGCCCAAGACTGTCTGTGTAAGTGGCTTATGGGTTCTTCTTCTCAATGTGTTTTGTTGTTTATTCATGCAGTCACTTCTGACTCTTCATGACCTCATGGACCAGCCAATGCCAGAGCTCCCTGTTGGCCATCACCACCCCTAGCTCCTTCAGAGTCAAGCTAGTCACTTCAAGGATACCATCCATCCATCTTGCCCTTGGTCGGCCCTTCGATGTGTAATCTTTTCTATTTTGTCTGATATAATTTCATCTTCTTGGTGTCTATCTCCCATACTTTCCCCTCTAGTCTTTTGTTCAAAAGCAGTGAATCTGTTATTTATTGTTGATGAAAGATAAATACAGAACGTACTCTTCAAATATCAAAAAGAATGGTAATCAGGATGGGCAGAGTTATCTTGTTTCACTTCATTAAGAACTGGCAGGAAGTGGAACAAATTCATTTTGCTCAATCCAAACATCAGGTGGAGACTCTGGAATGACTTTGATTATTGACTACACAAACAACCTCTCTGCCAGTATCTGAGCTAAGCCATTGCTTGTGTTCCCCTTGCTAGTGAATGCATACATCTCTGAAATACAGGATGATCATAATTGTTGTTGTTGTTTTGAATTTAAATTTTATATGGGTACTGTTTTTCTGCTTTTGCAGATCACCTCGGTACCAACAGCACTATGACCTTAAATGTTCAGAAGGGAAGGAGGATTTGTGCCTAAGGCATCACTTGAAGTGACATGATCCAAAATCTGCTGATAAGCAGGATTCTCCAGGTCAGTGCCAGGACAGGAACGTCCATGAACACAATGCACAGTAAGCCCTCCACTTTCGTAGAGCTTAAGAGTGCAGAACTCCCATGGAAGTGGGGGAAAGGTGAATTAAAAACTTGGGGTTCTTTTTAACATGAGAGAATATTTATTTGGAAATCACCTGATCATCCAGAGCAGAAGTCAACCACAGAACCCTACTGACCATAGGACTCTGGTAGTTAACCATAGAATTAAGCTAGAGGGCCTAGAGATTCCTAGAAAGGTACTTTCTCTAGGAATCTCTGGGTCTTCCAACATGACTCTATAACTCTTTGGTTGGTAATGTAAAGAAAATCTGGATGGATATTTTATAGAGATGAAAGACATTATTTTAGCAAAATGGACAGAACAGAACTTGTTGGCCCATCTTGTTTTTTGATTCTTTGTTTCTTGTATCAGATACAGTCCAGCTAAAACAGTATCTAGAACATGAAGGTCCAGAGTGCATACAAATCTATACAGTTGGGAGTTATGAGTCCTTGTAAAGACTGTTGGTATATCCTAAAATTAATATTTTAAATCATTGAATTACCCCCATATTTTATTAGCATGGTCTCTTAGAATCTGATATCACTGCCTACTATATTAATATTATATTTTGTTTCTAAGACAAAATGTGAATCTGAACACATTCTGCTCAACCGAATGTCTTTATGTGCCACCAACTTAATCGTATCACTATTCTATCCTAGCATTTTCTTGGCAAGATTTATTCAAAAGGGGGTTGCCATTTCCTTCCTCTAAGCTCAAGAGAGACTATCGGTCTCA